GTAACGACGCGTGCACGTCGGTGCAAGTAGAGGGTTGAGAGTTGCAGCGAGTAGAAGGGCGAGGGGTGGTCGATGGAGTGGGGCTAGGTGGCGGCGAGTTGTGCAGGGGGTGCAAGTCGAAGGGGCCAGGGACAGGGACGAGGGGTGGCAGGGAACACGGAAGGCTACGATTGATCCGTGGTCGCCCTCCATCCTCCCTATCCTCTTTCTCCCTTCCACCCTTTCGTCCTCTTTGGCCCTCTTTGTCTCTGTCGTAGTCGTCGTCGTCGCCGTCTCTCTCTTTCTCCTTTGCGTCACGACCTCACGAATTCATTGTGTGCACTTTTGCTCGTCCTTTTTCTCTCGGCAGCCATTAGCTGTCCGTTCGACTCGCCTCTTATTAGCATAGTTGCAAATTCTGTGCCACGATGCCCGGTGGTCTCCCCTTAACGCTTGATTGGAACCCCGACGCTTTGTGTGACGTAACAGGTACACACGGATCCCTTCGAAACTAACCCCCTTCTGGTACCACCTTCAAAGTAATCCCTTTCGACGGAAAAATATAGGGAACTTCGTCTTGTAGCTGACTGCGAAAAACTGAAAGTAACGTAACTACCCAGTTTTAATAGTATCATAATTGATTTGGCTCACTATAAAATATAATGGAAGAAATAGCTACATTCATTTAACACCAATAATTTTTAAATTAGGTTAAATATTCAAATATTACCTTAAATTAGGTCAGATATCTAAATATTATCTTAAATTAAGTCTATATAATCTAGGACTTAGATTATAATAACCTAGACTGTGGGTTATTACAATACTTTTGGGTCCTTTTTTTAATCAAAAGTACATCTGGTAGCCTTTGCTTTTCAAATGGAAAAAAGAACAACCGTCTGACTAAACCACCAGCTGATTAGTTAACGGTTTATATGTTACTGTTAATATTAATTAAATTTTTATCTAGTTACCTCTCTGTGTAACATCGCACATATTTCATGTACCACTTTTTTCTTCCAATCAACGGAATAGTCATCTATATTATAACTTAACGTTCTCACTATGTTTTTACCCTAACACTTTTCCATTTTGCACAATCGACGTAACAATTCATTCATGACAAATATGAAAGACCAGATTAAAAGTAACAATTCTGAAATGTTCTCACGCATTTCGTATAATCCTGCTTATAACATGCACATTCATTGTAAAATCCTATGAGTTTCTATTTATTCTATGATAAATTATGCTCCGAATCATCTATCCAATTTATCGGAAGCGAAGATTTATATTGGTTTTTCTATATGAAAGTGAATAAACATAATGTTTTCAGATGAATCATTCGCGATGATTATCTGAAGTGAAAAGGTGCAAATTCGACGTAAGATGATGATCGATGTTATATTCTTTGAATGCTGATCCCGAGACCGTACGTAGGTGGCGGAATTTGTTTCGTTCGATTCGAACAATACGATACTGGTGAACATATGCCTATCGTTTATCTGAGAAAAGACCAAACCCAATTAGAACGACCGGGTTCAACTGCTGGAATTCAATGGAAGCGATTGGGCCTGGTCTTAGATCCAACGCATTGTCCCTTTACATTGTTAATTTTAATGGGACAGATAGCTGGACAACGTGACTGTCATTTTGGGAGATTTAAAGGGTGAACTGAAGAAATGCAAGCTATTATGTTTCAAAACAGGAATAAGTAACACATTTAGCAACACATATTTAGCAAACATGCATTTAACAAACACATATTTAGTTTAACACATACTTAATTTAACACACATGTAGTAAACATACATTTATTTTGTTACACCTTTTCTTCTTTGAGATGAACAATCAGTTTAGATTTTAATAAGCATTCTCAAAGATTAAAAAATTTACGTTATTATTTACAAAAAGCTGCATTACTATTTACAGAGAAGAAAATTCTAAACATTTTATGAGAAAGTTAGGTATTTGTTTCTAATAAATTAACAATTGATCACTAAAAAGTATTTTAACTATTCATATCAATTATCGCTGTTTCATATTCATATGCCAATCATTATTTTCACATGTTTCGTATTATGTTATTTATACCAACCAATGTAATTAAAGTAATTGCAAATAACATTTACGTAGAGAATATATTAATAACTGTAATTTATAGTTAAATTTTTTCCATGATGTTATTTTCTTATTTTGTTTGCAATTGCATACTTTAAATACAACGTTGACATGAAAGTTAGGTTATGTTGATTAATATAATAATTACACTAAAGCAAAATTACTTATATTATCATTATGATATAAAAAATAGATTATATTTAATGTTATACTTAGGTCGTGTTATAGCACAATAACATTTCACTAATTTATGTTATATCGCCGTACATTGCCACGTATTATATCACCACGTTATACCGACACGTTATACCATTATATACGAAACTGCCATGCATTTAACTCGTATCCGTATTTCATAGAGGAGACATGTTCCTGCAAAATAATTGAACCACATCCAAACAAGATGGTACCCATTATAATTAATACCCAGTAAAAATATTCAAAACACCATAAAAATGTCTCGAACTCGTATAAATACGACACGATAAACCAGCTCACGCAATTCCAAATCCCGATAGAAAAGTAAGAAAAAAATAGATGTTCACTTAACGTCATAAACCGGCGCAATAACAGGCGCGGATTCATGCATCTTTGAAATCATACGGGAAATTTTAGTATTCCTCACGGTGTCCCTGATTGATGACATTGCGTTTATCGAACGGCGTGCAGCAATGCACACAGATTATTCATCATATTAAAAAGCGTTTTCGCCTGTCCCCGTATTCATTCGAGTGTTACGTTCTCCCAATAAATGGAACTTAACAATCAGCCGTAGAAATTGGTACGCGCATGACGTATGCACGAGGTCGGCTACCACCGTAAACAGAATTATACAATACCGAATGTGCTACCATTAATTAGAGTAACTTTGTTGGCACGTACACACTCTGCGTCTGTATTTGTGCGCGCTGGCCATGTAACGTGGCAGGGCTTTTATATTAATGACGTGCAAAATGTTTTGACACCCCGGTCCGTGGATTTTTAATTGAGACGTATCGTGTTGTTCGAACGGACGCTTATAAACAATTTCGTACATACGATACAACGAAATCAACAAAGATATTGGCTCTTGTCTCGATGGAAATTCACTTTGCTGGTCTTTTCTTCTATACGTGTATTCGTTTTTATTTACACGTATCTTTTCAATTTTTTTAATATATGTCTATTCATTCTTTTCCTGTATATCAGTATTTATTTTTCCGACATTTTTTCTTACATATGTGCATTTTTTGTGTAAGTGTATTTTCTCCTACATATGTGTATTCACTTTTTCTACATATGTGTAATTATTTTTCTAGTATAAATGTATTCATTTTGTTCTACATATGTGTATTCATATTTTCATATGTATACATTAATCATATGTATATATTAATCTTTTCCTACATATATTTATTTCATTTATTTGTGTACTTATGTTTTCTGCATAAGTGCAGTCTTTCCTTAGTATACACTTGTATTTTGCCTTACCTGAGTAAATTCACTTCATCTTGTATAAGTATATTCATTTTTTCTTGTAGGATATATGTATTAATTTTTCTTTGTTTGAATAAATTCGATCCAATCGAGATTTGGAATAACAAATGGCCACGAGGGGAAACAAGAACGAGTTCGTGGGTTGAATTTTGTATTATTTATAAAGGTAAGGGCATTGGATTTCGTTCTTTGTCGAGGATCGCAGAAATTGTGGTAGCAAGTAGTTGAACACCGTCGATAGCAGACATAGATCACGCGATACAAGAGGAAGAGGACCTGGGGTACTTGCGATAGAATATTAATTGAGCGGACCGATAAATGGCCCGGCATAAAAGTGAATAATCGACGTGAGGGGTAAAAATACGAGCCGCCGATGAAATAATTAGTCTAGCGTTCGAATATATTTCCGAAGATGATTGTAATAAAGTACCAATTACTAAAATGATAAGATCGTCCTCTGTTCTTAAATGAAATAGATGTTCGAAATTGAGTCCGTGTTTTTAAATTTGACATCCATAATAAACTCAAATAGAAAAAATTATAATCGTTTAAATAATGATATTTTGAGAGGAATTTAGATTCCTTTAAATTAACTTCAATGTCGTTCAGCTTGTTGGCTTTCTAATAATTTGACAAATCACTCGAAACCAATATTGCAAGAAACATTGATTAAGATACTAGTACACATCATGTATAGCAATTTTGCTTTATAATCTTTCATTAATTTTTTTTTAGATTAATTCAAAGTCATTTTTGTAGACATTAATTTTTATGAAATGTCAAGTGAGAAGTTTAAAATAAAAAATGTCAATAAATGGATGTTTAACATGTTCGCAACAATCATACATATGTAAAAGTTATCTAGGATATAGCATTATACATTTGTGACAATGCGTATTATATTTTGTAGTATTATCCAAGTGTGCAGTATGCAATATATATTCAAATAGAAATGTAACGTCATGTAAAGTAATAAAAGTTTGATGTTTGAACTGTGGAGAGGTACTTCTTCCAACTGAACACGTTAAAAGAACAATACAACGCTGCAAACATGAGCTTGACAAAATGATGCGTACCCACCTTATAAAAGATCATACATAAAGTTTTATCGACAGAATTAGATTCAATTTAAAAAGATCGGTTGTCAGAAGGTTGGAGTGGACGAGAAATTTCCCCGCTTCGTCCATCACAATGGCAACGATGATTGAATTGACCGATGGAAATGTCATGAGGTGGTTATTACACAATCTCGAAATAAGCATTTTGAACAGGTCATCTAAGGTCTGAGATTAACCTTCTTTTCTCCTTTTTATCCGCGTGGCAACTAAATGATTGTGCCTGTCGTGTTCGAAAGTTGTTTATTTGATTCGTTCGGGAAAGAAAAAAGAACCAGCACGCGTATGTAGAGATACGTGAACAGATACCTGCTTTAATGAGCGTGTAACAGGAATAGGCGTGCACATTTTGACCCAAGGATGCTTTCACGAGATTACACTCGACGCTTTACTTGTTTCTGCACTATTTCACGACGCCCAGGCCACCTTCGCTCGTAACCGTGTTGCGAACAATGTTGCATTCCGTTAACGAGACTTTTCACAGATCTCGCTTTTCGAGGTATTATCAAGCATTTAGCTGGAAAAATACATCAAGACGATATCAATGTACGCGCGTGCAGGGGACTGAATTTTATCGCCACCAGCCGAGCAAAACAACCGATCGAACGCATTGCAAATAGGTCATCGACGTATCCTTAAGATCTCTTATTAAGATGCTCCTACGATTGTTTTATTGCGTTATGATTTTGCTTAGCTACTAATGCAGAATTCATGCTATGTATGCTATAAACTACGAACAATTATCTATGCAAATATGCTTGCTACATTTACTTTGTTACAAGATAGTGGAAACTTAAAACTGAGGGTGAAATCAAGTTTAATAAATCAAGTTAATGCATTCGCAAGTTTAAGTTAAGTGCACATTTCTATTTACATTATCCAAACGGCATTCGTAATAATTTCTACTTGAAGTAGCTTTTAAAATTTGATACTTTCACATTCGCGTGAGTTCATAAAATTTTTCTGTTTGATAAATATTTAGTAGTCGCATTAAAGTCAAATTTAACGAATTAAGTGTTTGTAAAGTTGATTTAAGCTTATAAAATCGTGTTATATGTACATTATGAAACAAAAGGTAAAGAAACATGAAAATTAATATTCTGAGATAGTAGAATTTAGATTAAAGTAGAATAAAATTTTAAAATGAAATATACTTTCTTATTTATTACGAAGTATTATGATAAGGGAAGTTATTCTAAATGTACATTTATTAATAAATTATGCGTAATACGCTTCGTTTAAATAATTTATATATTTGCCGACAATCACTCGTGAATCTTTGTGCATTTCCGTACACGAATTTTGTAACACTCTAAAGGGTACACTGATAAAAAATAATTATAAGGTTCATTAGTAGATGTAATTAAAACAGTTAAACAGATATTAATCAATGTGTGTCATTGAATTTACGATAAATTATTTAACTTGTAACTAAATTGTTTATTTCTTATTAATTTTGTTCTATTAAGAACAAATCATATTTTAATCACAGGTATACATGTATACTCAAATATAATACATAGATTTTTTAAATGAAGTGTACATTTTTCTGTAGTATGTATTTTTGCTATTATTAGTGTGATAAGGGAAGTTATCTAAATGTATATATTTATTGAGAGATTATAAGTATTTCTACTTCAACTGTGATAACTGCTTCATTTGAATAATTCGCAAATTAGCGGGCGACCGTTCGTGAACTTTCATCCACTTTCGTGTACGAACAAATACACAAATCAACACATATGCAAATTCATATAGAGCAGAAATTTAAAAATGAAACTTTTTACTAATATTATTATTTCGATCAAATGATATTTAGTATATATCAATTTAACTCTAAGTTCACGTCCGTTGTGTAATTATTTTTACTATTAAAAATAAAGTACAATCAACATACAAAGAATATTTTTCGTCAACTCGATAAAACTATTTTAGCAAAAACATCTTAATAATTTCAGCAACTTAAATTAAGGGACATCATTTTAATTCGTAAATCTGATGTTAAGAAAAGGTTAGATGTATATCTGATGTTTGGGAGACACTGACGTTCGACGAACAAACACGAGCGAAAGATGTAAATGAAAACGAACGAAAGCTACAGTAACGCGATATTAACAGAAATCTGAAAGAATCGATTCGACGGAGGTTCAAACGATGAAAGGTAGTCCCGGAAAAGCGTATAGGTTTTATCATCGACGATACAGCGGTTGTTGAACAGCACAGGAGACTTTTGTGCGAGCTCGTCGACACACGAGGACAATGAAGCGTACTGTAGACGAGCGTTACGACGGCAAATCCGATTCACGCACTATCGACGCGTTACCTAATAGCGTACTACGTGGATGCAAATACACAAGCGACGCGGTGTCACGTGGACGACGACGACGACGACGACGAGGCACCTGCGCTCACGCAAAGCAAAAATAAAGGTAGGCGAAACGAACGAACGAACTGTGGCAATTGCCACAAGTCGAGGCTGTGTGCCGCACACGAATACGAACGGAGGTTCCTGTTCACGCAACGACCGATGCAATGCGTTCTGTTACCTAAGAACGCGTAGACGCGCAATTTCAGCCTCCTCTCTGTCCCTCCCCGCTCGCTATACATGCGGACGATCTATGAGAAACAACGTGCACGTGGACGGCCATGCAATAACGATGGATCGAAACAACACGGTAGACAATAATCGCGTTTATCGCGCGGGAAAGTATCCGGAGAACGCCGTGCAACCAGGGTCACGTCGCGAAAAACTCCGATTATCAGCGCACTCAGGATTCTACATTGACGAGAGAATTAGTTGTACATGTTAAATTATTTTTAATACAAATTTCATATTTTGTAATTCATTGTAATTTTTGTGATTTATAGTCTGAAGATTGTTATTATTTAAATATGATTGCTATTATTTAAAGAACAAAATCTGAAGTTCGATTTTATTTTTATCGAAATCGTGAATTAGGTGCTTCGTAAGTAGTTAGTAGAAGGTAATTAAGAAATAGTAAAAAGGTAATTTAAAAATAGTAAACAGGTAATACAAAAGTAGTAAACAGGTAAATAGGCGATTTAAATACAAAGAAATACAAGGAAAAGATTGTACAATATAAACTTTTACTTGGAATAAACTTTTAGGAAATTTCCTAGTATTTTTATTTGCGTTTTCGTTGGAGAGTATGAGAACCTCTTGGGTCCCCCTTTTGGGTGCAGCACTGTTGGTTGCACTTGAATATGCAAGTTGAAGAGCAATGCAAGTCTAAAATTTTTTGAGCAATTTAACGACCGTGTACTGCATGCAAAAATTTACAAATTTTTGAAATTTGAAAATGAAGGTTCTGGAAATTTAGTAATTTAGTAATTTGTAAATTGTAAATTGTAAATTTTTGTAAATTTTTAAACATCTACATTTCTAAACTTCTAAACTTTTGGACTTGCAGACTTATAGACTTGTAAATTTATAATTTTGTAAAATTGTTAATTTATAACCTAGTAAATTTGTAAATTTATAAGCTTGTAACCTTGTAAACTGGAAACTCTAACCTATAAATTTGAAAACATAAAATTTAACAATTCGTCAAACGATAATTTAAAAATTTTAAACTTCAGAAATATTAAAGTTTGAAAACTAGAAACTCAGCAATTTTAATCAATAAATGTAATAACCCAGTAAAAATACTTTACTAATTTCCAAAAAAAACTTAAAAGTTCAGATTATAAAGATTGACATAGCATCTTTGCCAAAGTACTTTGACAATTTTCTTTCTCATTCCAGAAAACTGCACTCTGTAATCTAGCAAATTTCCATTTCAAGTCTAGAACTACGCTCAACTTGATCCAAATCGGTGTCTCATTATTTCAAAACGTTTCCTACATCCAACAGCGTAATCAAAAGGAAAAAATGCATTATATCGTTACGCATCATAGTGTTCACTTCAGTTACGTATTATAAATTCTTAGGTAATACTAATTGTACCCGTCTGTCGGCGCCGCATCCGTAAAGTTTGCGATGGTCGCAGCGTGCGCGTGCGTGTTGGCGCGAGATCACGCGTCCGCGTGTACGCACACGCGAAACTCGCGTACAAACGGGTCGCCTCGGGGAATAATTTCATTGTAGCTACTTGAATGCGATCGTTGCCGATAAATTATTCCTAGGCTGATAGCTCGTGATCGGCCGACGCGGCGCAAGAACCGGAATTTACGACGAGCCCGATCGACTCGGTCTAAACGCAAATCCATCGTGCAAATTGAATTGCCTCAATGTCAATAGTTTCTTCATCCGACAAAAGAAGGTCGTGCGGTTGCACGTTAACGCACGTAATCCATCGCCATTCTTAATATGCTGTTCCTCGATCGATGTCGAGGAAATTTTTTTTCTTCCTTGTTTCTCTTTCTTCCATCGCCTTTAACGTACAACCTTTCCAAGGCAATGTCAAATGGGTTATATTTCGTGCTATCGCGTTTTGCTGCTATTGTTGAACCGTTTAATGAAACATGCATTGTTTTTGTTTCACTGTTAGCAGTTTTTGCGAAGAAAGTACTTCTGAAGACAAAACTTGGTAGGGATTTTATTTGAAAATGTAAGTATTGTATGTGAGAAAAATTACTTTGAGTATTCAGAGACTGAATTTTTATGTAACAGTTCGTACAGTATGTTTGGATTAAATGAAAACTGAAATTGTGCTAAATGTTTTTCAGTTTTGCGAGATTTTGAATTCTAAAAAATAAGCGTCTATTGTATTTTACATTTATTTTGTAATATATTTGCTGTGCATTGAAAAGAAATATTGTATAGTATTGTAAACTTTGTGAACTTATTCATAAATTTGAGTCTGACATGAATATCAAACAAAATATTAAAATTTGGAGTATATAATAAATGTTATTAAATAGTGACATGATTTATGACAATAGTGACATGTTTTATGACAGTTTAGTAAAATATGTAATTTATTTAAGTTTGATAAAGTACCACATAATGATAGAATTATGTGATATATTATTTTATGTGACATACTTTCAAAATATTGCAACAAAGGACCTAAATTCGACAGATCGATCATACTGAAAATTTATTTTATGTTTTCGACGTGAATATCATCGTTTTGATGTACAGTACATATTTACAGTATATTTGCTACATCTATGCGACAGGCTCTGTGAAAGAAAATGTTCTGCTACGACTGTTTCTCGTATCGATCATCCTCATCGTACCATAACACCTATAATTTTGTATTCTAATAGAAACTGAATTTACAATTCCGTTGCAGCAGCCAAACAACAACCAACTTCCTATTATACAAGCGTAGAAAATTTTAGTTATAAAAGCAAAAGTGTGAGAAGAATCAGGTACCGCTTTTAAATTGCACGAAAACTAACTATTTAAAACAATATAAATGTTGTACATGCTACATTTGAATTTTAAAGTTTGTCACCTCAACATAATCGAAATTTAGATGAAACTTTATACGGACTAAGAAATTAAAATTGTTCACCTTAAAAATTAGAATATTTTCAAAAAAGTACAAATTTAAGATTGCTATTATTGTTAAGTAAGTAATTGTAATGCGTAAATACCTTAGTATTTTTCGTACAGAGTTTGAAACTACATCACTTATTGACAGGTTAGGTAGTGACATTGTAAATGATAAGAACCGAGTTGCAATATTGGCTCTTTAGCTGTTCGCGAAATTTTAACTGAGAATTTGAAGACGCAAAACATTTGTGCAACGTTTTAACACATTCTCCAACGCGTTGATCATGCTTGTGGCATACCACAAAGTGGTGTAACAATTAAGACAATAAATTATTTGTATACTATCATATAAGATGACATCATCAGTTTGAAATAGCGAATTGAAAAATTACTGAAAATGAATACTATTAATGGTTGATATAATGTGCCGTAGTATTTATGGCTGTATCTACTGTGGCGATCAGTGTATTCAGTCTGACTACCGCAGAGAATGTGGACATTCGTAGTAAGACACTTGTTACAGTAAAAGCCGTGGTACATAGTAACAATATTATAATGCGAAATAGTCAATAATATTATAGCACCAAAGACGTACTATTAAGACTATAAACAATTTTTTAATTTATTATTCTGTATTGTTGGTCCAGTACTTTGTCATATAAATAAAATGAAATACATTCCAAAATTATTGTTTAACATTTTTCAACTGAATAGAAAATGCAAAAGTACCATAAATGATATGTCGCAGACATCTTTGTATATTAAATGGTAAAAGAATATTCAGAGTATGTTTCTTCTGTTCTTCCTTGTTCTTATGAATTATTTTACTGGCAAACCGTGTCAATTATAAATTTGAACAGTAGTATACGCAAAAAAATCAATGAAAATGATAATATATTTAGATTTATAGAGCGCATGAAGTTGTTCGACGCAGCAACGGCATCCGGCGCCACCTGGCCGATCGCGTGTTTACTTTTTCTAATCCAAAAGTCGCGCATGTCGCACTTCCGGGATCCCTTTAGAACAGTGATAAGTAGATTGCTGATATTTGCATATGCACTTATCACTTTGACCCATTGTATACTTTGTAAGACCAATGACTTTTGTAACCTTACATTCCCGTTCTTTTCTAAAACGAAACTATCAGTAGATTCATGTTTAGCTACATTTTCATACTACGAAATTACAGTTTGCAATGTAATTTGTATGTTATATAGCAAATTAGATGCTGTAAGTTAGATACTGACACTAGTAATTACATACTGACAGCGTAATAATCCATTCAATGCAAGTGACAAATACACGATATCAATTGCTAATTTGTCAGAGGCCTTACAGTACATTTAGAGATCATAAAATGTATAATTTTAGAACCCATTTTCTAATTAATTATACTTGAAATGGAAAGAATTTTTCTTATTTCCTGTATTTAATTTCTATAACGATCGACTGTAAAAATATATAATTAGCAATAACTTGTCCAAAAATACTAAATAAGTAAATAAATAAAAATTTAATTCTTTCAGTATCAAGTGTGACTATAAACACCACCTACTAAATATGTTCTAAATATACTCCGTTTCAAGAAACCGTTAAATGAATAAAAAATACAACAGTGGACTACAATTTCTAAAACATGTCACCAAACAATATTCACCAAATTATAAAAGAAAAACAGTACTGCGTAAAGCTGCCCGCATAATCCGATCACTTTTCCATTCAGCAAACTAAGGTTAAAAGAGTGGCTCCATCTCAATAAAAGCGACTAAGAAGGAAAAGATAAATAAAACGGAAAAAGAGGAAAGACGTTTGAAGAATTCACGAAAGCATCAGTTTAAACGTGAGAAAGAAAAGCGTGTGTATCTAAATTTCAGAAAAACGTCTTGGAAACGACGTGACGTCTCTCAGGCAGTGTGACAAAAGGAACCGTGGAAAGGGAAAATATCAGTGACAAATCGGCGCAGAATTGCACGCGTGTGTACATCTATACCGTCGATGCATCTGTGTTTCCTTCTCTATCGCGATCACGCACTATCTTTCTCTCTCTCTCTGTCTACGTCTTTGTCGCGCACGTAAATTCGAGTTACGCCAGTCTCTGTACCGTGTGAAATTTCTAATTTCGAAGTCAGCCGCGCGGCAAAGCACGTCCGAAATAATTACCTTCCGCGCTGCGTAAGACGTCAATGCGTTTGATATTCTTGCACGTTGTTCTCTCTCTCTCTCTCTCTCTCTCTCTCTCTCTCTCTCTCTCTCTCTCTCTCTCTCTCTCTCTCTCTCTCTCTCTCTCTCTCTCTCTCTCTCTCTCTCTCTCTCTCTCTCTCTCTCTCTCTCTCTCTCTCTCTCTCTCTCTCTCTCTCTCTCTCTCTCTCTCTCTCTCTCTCTCTCTCTCTCTCTCTCTCTCTCTCTCTCTCTCTCTCTCTCTCTCTCTCTCTCTCTCTCTCTCTCTCTCTCTCTCTCTCTCTCTCTCTCTCTCTCTCTCTCTCTCTCTCTCTCTCTCTCTCTCTCTCTCTCTCTCTCTCTCTCTCTCTCTCTCTCTCTCTCTCTCTCTCTCTCTCTCTCTCTCTCTCTCTCTCTCTCTCTCTCTCTCTCTCTCTCTCTCTCTCTCTCTCTCTCTCTCTCTCTCTCTCTCTCTCTCTCTCTCTCTCTCTCTCTCTCTCTCTCTCTCTCTCTCTCTCTCTCTCTCTCTCTCTCTCTCTCTCTCTCTCTCTCTCTCTCTCTCTCTCTCTCTCTCTCTCTCTCTCTCTCTCTCTCTCTCTCTCTCTCTCTCTCTCTCTCTCTCTCTCTCTCTCTCTCTCTCTCTCTCTCTCTCTCTCTCTCTCTCTCTCTCTCTCTCTCTCTCTCTCTCTCTCTCTCTCTCTCTCTCTCTCTCTCTCTCTCTCTCTCTCTCTCTCTCTCTCTCTCTCTCTCTCTCTCTCTCTCTCTCTCTCTCTCTTTTCTCTCCCACCCCCAGTGCCGGCGAACAAGAGTTTTTTTTTGGTCCAACGACGCCTATGGCTCTACGAATCGCGAGATCTGCGAGGGAAACGTGCGCCGTCTCTGTATATGTGCGGCTGTGCGCGTGAGCGTTTCACACCTGACTACTACGCCAGTCAGCCGAGCGACTGTGGCGACATTAGATATTCGTAAAATCATCGGATCGGGACCGGAATCGGTGGTAAATTAGTCGATTGATCGGATCGGATTTATCGTGGACGAATTAGACGGGTGGGCGGTACCGGATCGATTTATTTTGTCGGTAAAGTGTGCGCGGCGAACACGGTAGGTTAGTTGACCGCGGGGCCGAGCGAGCGCTGAGCTGACAGTAGGCCGGCGACGTCACAGTGGGCCGGTTGAGCCTTCCTTCGTTCGATTCAGGCAGGCTCTCTATTCATTTTACATGTAGCAAGGTAAATATTTCCTATGCGAAGTGTCCATCCGAGATTCCGTGGCTCCGAGTGCGTGCAAAATTGGTGAACCACATGTTTCTCGTTTCTCTTCATTTTTCATTTCGTTCCTTTTTTTTTTCATTTCCTTTTCACTTGTTTCTTTTTTGTCAATCCCGAATCATTCTAATCTCGTACACGAAAAATTCTCGGGGGTGTGAAGAAGTTTATTATTTCTTTCCTCGTTCGTGCCCGTTCCTGGTTACATTTCACGACACTGGCTGCTACTGCTACTGTTGTTGTTGTTGTCGCCGCTGCTGTTTGCTGTCACGATGCCCGTGGGAAACCGAGAGCGTAAGAAGACATTCCCGTGGTACCACGCGACGAAACGTGATCACGAACAGGCAGGACACGGAACACGCACTTTCCAACGGAGATTCACCATCGGAGATTGTTTCTGTCGTGTCAGAGAGGAGCGCGGCACCGAGACACACGTGAAATCGCACGGTTGACAGTTGCCGTGGCGCGAGACGTCAGTGGATCGTGAACCGTTTCACCGAGTGACCACGTTCGACGTTGATCGACCTTGTGCCGTTTAACTTTTGGCAAACCTATTCGACGCTTTCGTCCGCGTGCAGTGCAGTTTCACCGACGCGATTGTCGCTGTCATCCCCGCGAATCGAAGTGTCAACGGAGAGAGAGAATATCTCGAATCAAGCGCGCGAATTATCTCGAACGAGCTTTTGGCACGAGCCAGGAAAAATTCGGCGTACACGCGCACCGGTGCACGAAGACACGTGACAAGTGAAAAGTGGCGAACGTCGCGCGACAGTGCACGAATCAATCGTTCCATTTACTCGTCGCGTTTTGAGAAAGAAAAGAAATTGTATCGGTTGGAAAAGCGTATCGCCGTGGAACGCGGAGGAAAGTAAACAAAAGTTAAACGCACTCGCGAAAGCAACGTCGGTCGATCGTGTCACCGATTAAAGCGTCGTTGACGTAAAGGAAGATTCCCGTCGATTTTCGTGCACGCGGCCTGTCAAATTGAGCCGCGGAAAAATGTGAGATCATCGAGGAGCTATGCGCACCGTGAGACACGCGCTCGTCCTGAGAACAACCGGAGACAAACGTGTCAGCTGTAACGGTTCCCGAATTGTTAAACTTCCTAACCCACGGGTTACCTAACCTATCCTCGGCGGCGCGTTCTGCTTCCTGTCAAGCGCGTGACAAGTGAATCGTTGAGGATCAGACGAGCGTCGTGCAGGGAAAAAACGGTCGATCTAACGACGAGAAAAAGTACGAAAGGAAAAAGTCGGTTCGAGCGGCGATGTTGATTCGGTGTCGGATCGAAAGGTGAGGCGAAGAGTGCGTGTTCCGTGAGCCGTCACGACGGGACGAAAATATCACATGTGCGTCGAGAGAGTAAGCCGAGATTTTTGGAGGACGACGAGAGTCAAGTGGGCGGTCGTCGAGGAGGATTTTTCGGTGAGCGAACGACAAAGAAAATGAGATACCAGTGAAAGGGAGAGACAGGAGGATCCTCGCGGTACTGATCAGGTAGATCATTCTCCTTTTGAACCGGCCGGAATCAGGATGGTTCGTCTCGCGTGTCGTTCTCGCCGGAAGCTTCTGTTTGTTGACAGCTCGAAATTCCTGCGACTCGTGCTCGCCCACGATCGTTCAATTTTAACCGACACGCGAGACCGGCCGTCTGCTAATGATAAAGTCGATCAACATCCGTTAGCTAGCTGCTTCGTAACACGTTGGTTTCGCGAGACGCGATTTCCTCGACGACAGACGACGGACGGGACACGTTTCTCGATGATAGTCTAGTTTCCACGGAGAGTAGGAGGTAATCAGGGCGAGGAACGTGGGTAAACCTCTTTCAGTCGTACGGCCCTGCATGCTAAACAGCATAGACGTTTGACGTTTCGTGAAGGCCGCGTGCTCTAGCGTTTCTCCTTCTCGCACCGTTGACCGTTCTCTATTTCCGTCCTGCTCGCTCTATCCTCGTCGTCTCTGTCTCCTACTTTTTTCTCTTTCCCGCCGTCTCGTTGCAACTCTGTCTTCCTTCCTCGTCGGTTTTCCGTCCCCGTTTCCCGACCCCCCGGCCTTCTCGTTACCGTTTTCTCGTCTCGCCCTACGCACGTTACGTTGGACACTCTTTTTAACGATCGTTACGCGTGAAATCCTCGTACCGTCCTTGCTTTTCCGCGAATTTTCCACGGAACTACTGACGCTCACACGCGCGAACGTTCCCATGCGGATTTTCGCGGCGTTATCGACGCGTGCGTGACATTGAAGATCCACGAAGGAAACGCTCGTATACAGGGTGACGGCGAAATCGAGTTCCGCAGAAAGTCATTCAATTAATTCCGGTGTACAAATCTAGGATGCGAGGTAGGATTACTGTGCCCCAATCTTTTTGTACCGATCGTTAACGTGCTAGATGATAAAATAGTTAAATTATACCGCGTGAGAATATGTTTGTCGAAGACAAATATAAAATTAAGAAGGTTTAACTCTTGAAAAATATTTTTCATGAATTATTGCTACCAAACGCATATGTGATATTCTGAGGCTGTGTCCTAAGAGTGTATCACATATTTGTGACGTATATTTTAGTAATATATGTTCAAATATGGCCAGCTGATGCGAACAACGCTATAACTTAAACAGAACTATTGTTTTGTGCGAAAAGTTTCGCGAGTAAATCTTACGAAACATATCAACGGTGCATTATCCATTATTATCAGTAATTTAACCTTAAAACCTACTCTTACGTATCAGATGTTTTAACTCGCAAAACTTTCCGGATAACAGTCGCATGTTGTTCATATCAGCTGTCGATACGCGATTTAATGTAAAACTACAAAGATTTGATAAATGGGCTGTGGAGAATATTTTCCTTACATGACGAAATTGTTAAACGAAAAATACTGATAAGGATATCCTGCGCGTTCTTTTAAAATTTTATTAAACTTTTGCGAGTTGATAGATCATGTTGTTACGAACTTTTCTATATGTAGTTTCAAACGTGGATGATTAATAGTTTTCGAAATATCTAATATTAAAGTTTTGATAGGTTCTGTCTTTCCTACTGTCAAACAAAGTTGGAAGAAAATCATTGTAGAGTAGTTGGACAACAGTAAGGAAGTTTAACTTTTATACGCGAGTTTGATTCTCTGTTGACCAATTTCAGTTCTTTTCGTTTAAATTATAGGTTTATTCGTGATAAATTTGCACTGTATAATCCATTGTGATAAGCTTGTAATTTGTGTTATATTTAACTGTTTTTATCAGACAACATTTCATATACTTAACAAAATTTATAGTTCAAATAATTCCCAGCAAACTAAGTGACAGATGACAGAGTTCACTTTATATAATCGTATACATTTTGTACAAAAATTATTTGAATCAAATTTGAACTGCTAGATGAAAACTATTTAGGTAAAATATTTCGATGATCCAAAACTGAAAAATAGAAAAGAATTGCATGTTTTGAAGACGGTGTAACCATTTGAATCTTGTTTGCGAGTAACATCGGCTAGATCGCGCGAAAACGAGCTGTTTGGAGAACAGTTTCAGTGTTTACGAGAATCGCGTTTGAAGAATTGTCGCGCGGTAAAACTTTCTATGTAGTCGAATGAATCGTGAAAATCTGTTGCAATGTAGGATATGGTTTATACATACATCATTGTAGCATCACGTGTGACGATTTTCGCGTGGACGCGGTGTTTTATGTACAGCTGTATTATCGAGCTGAGAAATTTGACGTCGAGGAAGTCGCGTTTCATATCGGTTCATGGAATATCGTGGAAAATTATGGCTCGAGGACGCGTGAATCACGTGAGATCGATTGTATCCACGGTAGTGTTGCTTTTCTCGTGAGAAAAAGAACGCACGAAAATCTTCTGAGTGGCTAGGGATTTAACGTAATAGAAAATATTATGTTACCTCGGGATTTCGTGGATAGATGTTCTGAATAAATTTTATTATTGTACATAAAATTTACTAACGGTGATATTTTGCAGTTTGATAGCTAAAAAAGTTTTTTTCCCAACAATTTTACGAAATTGAATATTTTTATCTGAACAATAACGTGTTTTGCAAAATGTTTTGAATAGGGTTAATAAATGTTTTGACTTTGCGGTTAAAAATTTTTTATAATTTTAATTAGTGTGAGTAAAATTAATGGACATTGATATTTTACAATATGATAGATTGTTAATTGTTTAATAAAATTGTGTTTTTATTAAGAATGTTGTAAAACTGAAAATGTTAGTTTCAGTGGCAACACGTTTTAGCTGTTTGAAAAATATTTTGTGAGCTTGAAAATATATTTTAAAAATTTGTATACATGTAGAAGATAGAAGGAATAAAAAATCTAATATGACAAAAATTTTGACTAGAATAGCATCTGATTGATGAAATTGTTTTTATCACACATACTCATTTTGAATAATATAAAATATTAAAAATCGCAATAATACAACAAAAAGAAAAATATTAAAAGTTATAGTAGAACAAAATTAACAAAATCTGATACATTTATATTACTTTCTGAACATTTAAAAATGTGTTCATATCTATTTGCAAACACTTAACACTAATTGTTTTTGGAAAAATTACATAAATAATTTGACATGACACTAAAAAATTAATTTTTATTGCTCTTAATACTCAAAATAATTGTGTATCGTATAAGACATGACTGTATCTACTGCAATAGGGTATGAATACGTTGACTGCGACAGTGAAAATGGATATTTGCAATAAGACTTTTGAACATTAGTTATTACAGTTATAATTGTGTAATTTTCAAATGTAAGCTTCCATTTTCATGTTTTAGGTCATTAACATAACATTAACACTATCTGAACTTTATTTATGCAAAAATTTATACAAAATTGTTCAGCCGCGACCACTCCAATATCGTATTATTTTATTACTAATACGCATGAGATAATTTAGAAAACTGAACATTGTGTTATTATTTTCTTTATAACTTTTAGCGAAACGTGTCTTACCGGTTATGACAGTTTTTACTGCAACGTTGAAGAGCCGTAACAATGTAAATTTAGTCTGTTTATAGTCGAATGATTAAAACGAATGGGAAATTAGAATATTATTATCGTTTTAAAAACGTGATCGTTTTAAACTAAAAAGTTATTGGAAGTTATATTTAATAATATAAGGTAACAACAAAAAGAATAAAAGTTGTTAATAGCATGAAGTAACGAAAGAAATTACTGAAAGTTACATTTAATAACACGATGTAAATTGAACAGTAAACGATTATATTCATAATAATTCATATCAAAACATTAATTTAACTGCGATTAAGTTATTATACTGTCTTATCAGGGTAATTTAATCATAATACATTCTTCGACTCTCGCAAACGATAACGATAAAAAAATAATAATAAAGAAATATTCTCTACATTATAAATTTGATTAAAGATTAATTGCATAATGTTATAAAATTATACGAGCACGAGCTAAAAAATTACATGTAGAAATGATAAGAAATTTCAATAACAAATTATATTAATTTCAATAATCTAAATAAATGAAATGTAAAGTCCAGTTAGATAAAATTAAATTAGACAAATCAGACACCAAAAGAATTGTACATACCACGATTTTTCAATTTCATTAAATTTTCTATAATTATTAAAAATTTTCGGCAAAATCCAAATTCAGTAAATAAAAATTTTTAAACTTTATACGATAATAATAAACAAATATCTCCACGTTACAATAATAATTTATTCATAATTACCATTAATAATTTACTCATAATTAATAAAACTTAATCACTGCGATCAATTTACGATCGACAATAGTCAATCTGTTAATTAGTGAAAAACACAAACAACAGTCAACCTGTTAATTAAGTAAAAACACAAACGATATTTCCAACATTATAATAGCATTGTACTGCACCGTAATAAGATCAATTTTCATTAGCAACCGAAACATTGCATGTAATAAATACGTACGTAGTGTTTTTGTGTGTGTTCTCTAACAAGTAGATTCAGACAGAGGTATGCCAGACGATCAGCTGTTCGCGTTCCTTTCTAACTTCAGTGAATCATGCGTTTCAAAGAGAACACACGTGGCTCCAAGTTTTGTGGAAACGTAAAAATAACGTCGGTAGAACAGTTACGAAAGAGATCGCGGTATTTTGTACGTTTTCTGGACTGATTAGTTTGGCATTCCCTGGCCAGCGGTCGGGTCGTTAACCACTGATAAATCACTGAAATTAACGACGAGGTACACTTTTTGAGCGTTGCCTTCGGACGAAATTCATTTCACCATTCTCTCGTTCTTTGATCGAGAAAATTGAAAAACGGAGGTTTAATACTGAATCCAGCGTATGATGCACACTTATTTTGATATCACATAGTTAAAAAATAAATATACGAACGTTTAAACATTAATTATTATACATATCTTTATCTTGATAAAAATCTA